GGGGTCGGGGCCGCAGCCCACGGGCTCGCTCTGCCACCGGGGAGAAGCCGCCTCTGCCCAACGGGCCCAGCGGCACCGCTGCCTCCCCGGGGGTCCCGGCCGAGCCCCCCGCCGGCCCCGAGGAAGGGGCCATCCCGCAGCACGGCCAGCTAAGGCGGGGGAGCAGAGCCGCCTCCGCAGCCCCCGCCCGCCCGGGGCGACGGCGTCCCCGCCAGGCAGGGCTGTTGGTGATAACCGAGGAGCATCAACCGGGCTTCGCCCCACACAGAAAAGGAAAGGAGCCCCGTCTCAGTAACCAGGCTTTATAAACGATTCTCAACAAACCTTTCTCCGAAAACGAGCTACAGACGACTTCCTTTGCCCTTCTTCCCTCTGCTACTCGATGGGAATACAGGGCAGGATGGGGTCTCCTGATCCATCCCCGTCCCTCTGCTGCGTGCACCCCATCTTCTCATTTCAGTCTCCAATGTGCGAGAGGGACACTGCCACGCTTCCCAGACATCTGTTGTGGCTGGCATGAGCGGAAACCGCAGGGAAGGCATGGCTGACACTCCAGCGCGCTACGGGAATTCCCACATTTGACACACTGCTGATGGGAGGTTTTCATTACTGAACCAGCCCTCCCCCAAGCCACGGAAACCCCACCAACAGATGTGAGAAACACCATCGTGGACGAACCTGAAGAAAGTTCTTTTTCGACAAAACTGATGTCAAAACTTGGTTTTGACCAGAGGGTTTTGTCTTCTGCGTTCATGACTCTCCATTCAGGCAGCCACCACTGCTGCTCTCTGAGTGTACCCAAACCCCTTCCTAACAACCAAGATTTGAAGGCTTCTTTGTATGTGTAAAAGCCAGAAATGAGGAGCCACTTCCGCAATGTAAAAAGACCTCCTGTCCCCCTTCCCTCACCCCTGTACAGACAGGCAAAGGCAGTGCAGAGGAACTTCATGGGGCTGGGTGGTCTCCACTCAGACAACCTGCGCTCCAAGTGTCCCACCACAGTGCAGTAGTATCACGGTGGGGGTAAGCACGAGGACAAGCTACTTCTCAGAGGTAGCAAATGCCTCACCCAGTCCATGCCCTGCACGTGGCCGATGACAGTGTCCCACAATGGAGGAAGTCCCCACCCCAACAGGAAATCACTGCTGGGGCTGCTTCCATCACTGCTACCTGTCTGAGGCAATGCGGCGTGATGAAAACAGGAAGGCAAAAGCAGTTGGTTTGAGAAATAAACAAACACTGCGCCAGGCTCCCTTCCTTCTCCACAAGTAATCTGGGAGTGGCCCCCACCTCCCGTCCATGAAGAGGAGGATTCAGGTCTCAGGAAGGGACTCTAAGGCCGAGCAGAACAAAATTCAGTAACTCCACTCGGCAGCTTCCGAATGCTCGCTGCACTCTGAAAGTGCTCGAGTCATCTTCGGGTTTCCACGACTTCATGGGCGTACTGGTGCTAGTTAGCACGCAGACAGAGGTTAAGTGATTTCTCATCCTCCAGGGAGATCATTACTGCTTTGAAGTCACAGTCTCCCTGGCCTGCTCCCCTTTCATCAGACCACCCCTGCCATATAGATGAATGCAATCCCAGCACAGAGACCCACCCATCTTTAGTCCCAAATGTCTCCTCATTTCCCAAATGTCTTTTCAAATTTGGGGATGACAAAGCCTTTCATCCCAAAGTTAGCCAAGTGTAGCAACCAATCCGAGTTTTTGCAATTGTATTCACCTTCAGCTGGAACAAGGGAAGGAGCAGCAGATCAAGAATCCCTTCCACCTCTGTTACACCTACCACCCTCACATCACCTATCAAAGGTGTCTGCCCAGCAAAGGATACACAATGTTCTGATGTTTTACA